AGCTCTTATTTGTGACTGTTCATCATCATCAGGCCCCAAATAGAAAAAGTTAGTTTTAGTGTGAGTCTTAATCCTTATTCACAAATACTTTTTCTACATGTTTTGTTTCACATCAACTATCAGTTTAGTTCTTTACCGACTGGATGGCTGTACTCTGTGTAGTAAACTGGGTCTCCTCTTCCTCCTCTTCCTCCTCTTCCTCCTCTGCACCAGTAGACTCCTCCAGCAGAGGGAGAGATGCTTCCACCCTGGAGGAGAACATCATCTCCTGGTTTCAGAGGTTTAGACGTTGTCTCGTCTCTGTACCAGAAGAACTTCCATCCAGATGATGATGATGATGATGGTGATGATGATGATGATGAAGACCCCACAGAGCAGGTCAGGGTCACACGTCCCCCTACAGGAGAGTCTTTGCTCAGTTGGGCCTTTGGTTTTTCTGTTTTAATGTAGAACAAAGACAAAACAATGTAATTATTGTGACTGTACTGAATTAATGGTTATTAAATTAATGAAGTAATGAGAACATTTCACCTGAAGGAGGCGCCACTGATAAACAATTAACAGAACACCTCCATCTGCACTACTTGCACTACATATTTATATTGGACTACTGCCACCTTATATTTATATATTATACATATCAGTAATGTTTATGCTTAGTTTTTGTGTTCTATTTTGTCCTTAATTTCTTTTTTCATATTTTTTTATATTTCTGTTGTTTATTGTTTATCTATGTAACTGTAACGGAGACTAATTCTATGTGCAAACACATACGGCCAATAAAGCCGATTCTGATTTGTCCAATTTGTCTCATCAATAATGAATCAATCACTCATCTATAATTTCTCAGTAGGGATTAAATATTGGACGGTTTGTCTCATCATGTTAATGTTCTTTTCATAATCAGTCCGACTAGCTTGGTTTAAAGAAAAGATACTTAGTCCGATTTCAGGTCGCCTGGATGTCTGATGGCCTTGTAGTTGAGATACACGCAGTTTACATTTGTTATCCACATTCACACAGTAGCTGAGCGAATAGCTGCATTTCATGGATGGAAGAGACGGCCCTTTGGTGACGTACATGCTCACAGTTACATCTTTAATTAATGCTCAATATGTCGGAGACAAATGTCCACTTAGTGGCAGTGAGCTACAGAATGGTCTAAAAGGTCCAAAGTGGAGGAGCGAGGATGGAGCCAGATAACTCTACAGCTCCTCCTGGTCTAAAGTCAATGGTGGATGTCTATGGTCATAAAGAGGAAAGTCAACCACAAAGACGTGTTGGACAATACAGAGAAATGATACTGAAACAAACTAAATATTGAGTTAAAGTCCTTATAAAGTCACCTTAAAATGTCAGCACTCTACAATAAGATGTGTAACTACCTTAGATGTAAAACCTTTAAATGAATATAAACTCACTGTGTGTAGTGATGTTGGCTGCATTGCTGGACTGTGTTGCAGACTCACACCAGTACACTCCACTACTCGCTCTAGTGGTGTTGCATGTGGATCCAGTCATTTGTCCCCAGTAAGAACAGGATGACATGAAGCCAGATTCATCAGCCTTCATCACTCTCCACTCAGTAGAGTTTCCCTCACAGCTCAGTGACAGTGACTCTGTGCTGAAGTGCTGCAGTCTGTGAGGACTCACTGTGAGAGACGCTGCTGGATTCACACCTGAAGACACGTCATTAGGAGACACACACAGGACAAACTATGTCAACACAAACAGGACATTTATTCTCTTGTGCAAGAATATAAAAGTGTGAACAAACTCACCTCCAGACCAGACAAACTTCACATCACTGTACAGAGTGTAAAACACAGGATCTCCTCTTCCAGCTCTGCACACATATCCTGCTGTGTGTGTCTGTCCATGAAGAATGTAGGAATCCTGTTCAGTCCCAGTGGTGTTACCAGCTAGAAGCTCATAGGTGTAGTTGGGTGACAGTTCTGGAACAGCCTGATACCAGAAGAACCTCCATCCTGCAGACGGAGGTTCAACACTGCAGGTCAGAGTCACTGAGTCTCCAGGACTCGTCCATGATGGAGACACTGTGAGGACAGGCTGAGGGACATCTGTTGGAAAGAGATTTCACACAATAAAGACGTGTTGTGATGAGTCCTTGGTGGATTACTTTCACTGCTGATGTCCTCCATCTTTTACTTCAACTGTGTAAAACAGGTGTGATGGTACATTGTCTTTAAATAAATTAACTAATTAAACAACTCAAATATTCTGTTTTGATTATTTCAAATATAAATACTGACTTACCTGATGTTTTTACTGTGAAAGCATCACTCCATTCTGTTGTAGAGCCTCCATCTTTCAGTCTGCCCTTACAGCTGTAGTCTCCTCTGACTGATGATGTCATCATGGAGCCTCTTGGGTTTGGAGGTGTGTAATAGTCGGGTGTTCTCCATTCATACTCCCACTCAGAGCCTCCTCCCTCCTCTATTCCACATGTGAGAGTGATCGTCTCTCCAGAGTAAATCTCAGGCCAGTTGGGCTTCACAACAGCTCTGTTTGTGACTGTTCATCATCATCAGGCCCCAAATAGAAAAGTTACACAAACAGAGTTTTAGTGTGAGTCTTAATCCTTTTTCACAAATATTTTTTCTACATGTTTTGTTTCACATCAACTATCAGTTTAGTTCTTTACCGACTGGATGGCTGTACTCTGTGTAGTAAACTGGGTCTCCTCTTCCTCCTCTGCACCAGTAGACTCCTCCACCAGAGGGAGAGATGCTTCCACTCTGGAGGAGAACATCATCTCCTGTTTTCAGAGGTTCAGAGGTTTTCTTGTCTTTGTACCAGAAGTACTTCCATCCAGATGATGATGATGATGATCGTGATGATGATGAAGACCCCACAGAGCAGGTCAGGGTCACACTTCCCGCTACAGGAGAGTCTTTTCTCAGTTGGGCCTTTGGTTTTTCTGTTTTAATGTAGAACAAATACAAAACAATGTTATTATTGTGACTGTACTGAATTAATGGTTATTAAATTAATGAAGTAATGAGAACATTTCACCTGAAGGAGGCGCCACGGATAAACAATTAACAGAACACCTCCATCTACACTACTTGCACTGCATATTTATATTGGACTACTGCCACCTTGTATTTATATATTATACATATCAGTAATGTTTATGCTTAGTTTTTGTGTTCTATTTTGTCCTTAATTTATTTTTTCATATTTTTTTATATTTCTGTTGTTTATTGTTTATCTATGTAACTGTAACGGAGACTAATTCCATGTGCAAACACATACGGCCAATAAAGCCGATTCTGATTTGTTCAATTTGTCTTATCAATAATGAATCAATCACTCATCTATAATTTCTCAGTAGGGATTAAATATTGGACGGTTTGTCTCATCATGTTAATGTTCTTTTCATAATCAGTCCATCTTTGTTTTATTTAAAAGGATCAATATTATCTGATAATTGATCCTTTTAAACAAAGATCAGCTGACTAAACAGCATCAGTGTTCAACTTCAAGGTTCCTCTTACACTGGTTAACATTTATTAATTATCACTACATTATATCACATTAGCACTTTATCAAACAGGTTTATTAAATAAACACGTCTCATTAATATAAAAGTGCTTTAATGAACTCGTCGTGATGGTAAAACTTTGATCACTTACCTGATACACTTAGAGAGACTTTATTACTTTCTCTTATAACGTTGGGACGGATCTTCTGAAAAGCAACACACTGATATTCACCACTATCTCCTGTAGTTAGAGATGGTGATGTAAATCTATTTTCTGGTATGGAGTTGGTCAACCAATGACCATTCCGATTGAATGCATAATTCCAGTCAGTGTTGTTTCCTTCCTTTAAGTCACATATGAAGGTAACTTTCTCTCCAGTAAATAAAGGAGACCAGTTTGGCTCAATATGCAGCAAAGCATCTAGAAACAAACACAACATGCAAAGAATAAATTGTGTTTCTTGTATTGATCATAAATGAAGTAAAGAAAACAGAAATATTAAATGTAAACAGTGATAGAAGGTGTTGAATCGTCTTGAGTGAATTTATCAAATAAAGGAAGTTGTATAAAAACCTTGAGCGTGTCCACAGTAGACGAGAATATTCAGCACTAAAACAAAGTGAGAAACATCATCACGCATCATCAAACTGACAGAAACTATTAACTTCTGCCATTTAAAACGTTCTATGTATGAAAACTATGATTTAAAGAGAGAAAGTACTCACAGAAAAGCCCCAACACACCAAACAAAGCGCGTCCCATCCTCACGTCCACGCTGACACTCTTCTGAGAAACGCTTCGTGTCTGCAGACGGTTTCAAACGTGTGAAACATGAAGAGAAATGTGGAAATGCAGAGACAACATATGAATATTAGACGATAGGTTTTCTCTAACTTCTGCTTCTGTTTATGGTCCGTGCTTCCTTCCCTTTTGACCCACCAGACGCTGTTAAACACGTCACATTTTAGTGCTTATAGGAAATAAGACCAGTTCCAGTAGTCTGATTAATGCAGATATATTTAATGTCCTTTCTTCATACACGGTCATAAGCTAAAGGTTTCTGTAAAGGCAGCTGCAGGAAGTCAAAGGTCTCCCCTGTAATATTAATACACTTAATAATCCATAAATGATCCTTCTCACCAAACTGGGACGATTTCACAATAAAATCCACAAACAACTTGTAAATGTCGTCACTTCATGGTGAGATTCTGGCGTCTCGATGTCTCGTCTCCTACAGGAAGTGACTGTGCTCGAACAGGACACGAAGAGACAGGCGGAAGAGGACGTGAAGAGAGACGAAAACCTCTCCATGCTCCTCGCCTCCTAATACTATATTATATTATATATATATTAATATTATAGATGTGTGATGTAGTTGCACTGTACACGTTTGTGATATTTTGTTAATATCTGAAAAAAGGAAAGAAAATATTTTTGTCCCAGTAAAATGAATTGTTCAAACTCTGCTAACTTCTATATTCTTTATTCTACAGAAGCACTTTTAGTTTGAAGTACATTCAGAGAGCCAGAGAAAGGTGTTTAATGTTTCACAATGACTGATATAAAACACCCTGTGAGGAAGAAGTGAATCACTGAAGCAGATTCAGAGGCTGAAACAGACCAAAATAAATCCACCAACGTTTAATTAGACTTAAATGTAGAAAGTGAGCCGTTTTATTTGATCAACCTTAAGGTTCCTTTTTGTGCATCAAAGCCACATTCAACTCTACCAGCAAACACCACAGCAGGAGGAAGTGATGCATTCTGGGACGCCTCTTTCACCACAACTGAACCGTTGCCTCAGACGTGTGAATTAAAGTCAAATAACAGTTTGTTTTCAGTCTTTTTGAGTTGTTTTTTTGTATTTATCCATCAAAAACAAAACTTTGTCCAACTATACAATTACAGAAGAAATTAATTGGCAGCAAAACGTTTCACACTTGAAAAGAGGAAACAGTTCAGTCTCTTCACAGGCCTGTGGTCAGTAATGTAGAAGCCGCAATCGCATAAGACAAAAATAGAGAAGGTGCAGAAGAGAATTTCCACGAACTCTTTAGTTCCTCATCTGCAGCAGCATGTTGAGACAAATGAGACAAAACCATTCAGTTTAATACATATATGTGAGGTGTATAAATATATTATTATAACCAAATGGTGCAACATACAAAAGCAATCAGTCACATAGAAACACTTTATAAACCTGGTGACACTTGGTGGTCGGATGATGTCACTACTTGAGGAGACTCTTCACTACAGACTCACAACCTCCAGTTCAACGTGATTCACACATAGACCACCTTCTAATCAATCCGTATGAATATGAATCAAAAGTTCACATTTCAACTAATTGAATCATGTTTGTTCTGGTAGTCGTGACATTGACATATTTAATCAGCTGTGACTCTAATGGGACATTTTGGATTTTAGGCTCAAACTCCAACAAACATCTCACAGCTGAATGTTTTTACAAATGAATCGGTTCTTGTGAGACTGATTTAAAAAAGAAAAGGTCAAATAGATTTGTGTTGTAAGTCTGAGGAGAAGAAGCACAAAGCTTCTCAGAATCAGTCAAACTGTTCCTGTTCCCCTTCATACACAAGATGTGTTGCTACTGGTTACGTGGTGTTACATGACCACATTCACACCACAGCTGATATGTGAACCCTGAGATGATGGTTGTAGATCTCGGAGCAGCTGCCAGGAATTGAGTCCCAGTACTGAGCAAGGAAGTCAAATACTAAGAAAAGTTTCAAGCTTAAAAAAGGATTTTAAAAGTAGAACCAGTGAAGGAGGGACAGTTTCTTTACAATGTGTCTCCCGGGTCTCCTGGACAGACACGTGCACAGATAGACCCCTACTGGTGCTCAAGCACCTGCCCTTTTGCCCTGGATGAGAAAAGTGCCCCTTCTGCTGGAGCACAATTGTTTCTTCATGCATCAATATTTCTGAATATAAATTACTCTTTGTCATCAATTCCCCCAAAATGTGTTTCTATATCCGACGGGGCATTTATTTGAGTTCTTGTGAGAACTCAAATAAATGCCCATCTGTGCTGATGTGAGGGTTCCAGGACGGAGGATGTCACATGTGTACAGACTGTAAAGACAATTAATAATTAGTCATTTGCGATTTTGGGCTAAACAAAATAAAATAAATTGGATGCCAAAAAATATCACCCAAAGTTGGCTGGGATGGACTCCAGCCCCCCCGCGACCCTGTGTGCAGGATAAGCGGTTTGACAATGGATGGATGGATGGATGGATGCCAAAAAAGAGGGACTCCAAAAGCAGAAGGACGGGGAAAATATCCTACTGTTTTTTTTATTTATTTGTTTTAATAGTATTTTTAATGTCATGAATAATTTTGCCGATGGGTTTTGTTTCATTTTGAGCACCTGCCCTCCAAAACGCTCCTGGACATGGCCCCCTGGGACAGAACCACAGCGGGCCGAGTCCCAGACTAAAGGAGGACTCGCAGGTGCAGGTTGTGGCACTCTGACGCCCCCTTGTGGTCCTCTGAGGACATTTCAGATTCAGCTGCTCGTGTTCTCCAGGTTCAGGTGGAAGAAGGACGTCTGTATCCTCATTCTGTTCATCTCTCCGGATCCTCAAAGCTTCTATTGGGGGGATCTGGACCTTTTGGGCGCCTGCAACACACTGTACAAAGAGTTGATGTGGTCTTCCTCGCCCGGGGGGGGCACCCTGTGAGCCCGACGCCTCTTGCTCCCCCCCGTGTCCTTCCGTACCCACGCCGCCATCACCCTCGCCCTGAGGCGACCCAGTCTCCTCCCTCGGGCCCACGATGGTGCTGCTGGTCTGGCGGGGCGGGGGGGGCTCCACGTTTACATAGCAGGCCTCGGCTTGGCTGGAAGAGGAAGAGGTGGAGACTCTCCACTCGGGGGGCGGCGAGGCCTCCGCCTGCTGGCTCTGTGCTATCCGAGCAGCAGGTGTCCCCTCCTGGAGACAACGCAGCGGAGTGAGACAAGATGCCTCCTCGCGTTACACCAACACTCCTTTTCACACCCTGAAGGGGGGGTCAGAGTCGGGAGCATCTGGAAAGTGGAACGCTGAGGTCACGCGGCTCACCTGATCCCCACTACATCCGCTGGGAAGGAGCCCCGTGGCCCCCAAGAGGATGAAGACAAACAGGGACACGCACACTGCAACTGAGTTATTAGAACGATGAGCAGGAGGCCCAAAAACTATACATATACAGTTAAAAGTATTTGCCCCCTGCTGGTACCACGAGTGAACTAAATAAACATGTTTTTTGTAAAGACGAGTTAAAAATCTAATATTTAAGTGACAAAAATAAAGAAAAAGTATTTTTTCAAGTCACTGTATATATAAATCCTGCTCTAATAATACAAATCATCACGTAAATCTTACACATCGCCTCCGTGCTTTCAGACACATTGCTCGCGCTGACGTGGTATTTTCCCCCGCAGGCGACGGACGTGTTGTCAGTGAAAATGATGATAACCTTCCTGTTGGACCTCTGGGAGGTTCTGCAACCCGCTACGTCACAAAAAGACAAAACACAAAAAAGGACACACACAACCAAGGGAGGGAGGAGAAGGGGGTTTAGTGACTGGGGTCAAAGTAATGAAATAAACAAAAGGTCCCTTTAGTTCTACACACCTCTCCCTGCCTAACACAGTCTATCCCTAACCAGCTTACCTCTCTATGGCCAACGCTACAGGGGTGACCCCCTCCCAGCTAACATAGTGTGTGTAACAAAGATTTACATACGTGATGCAAATGTACACCCATGGGCAGGACTACCTACCCCTTCTCCAGAACTCAGGTAGAGCACAACAGGATCTCACCTGACAGGATTCACCACAAAACGTCTTTGACAGGCCACACAAGGCCTCTCTCCCTCCTTTATCTCTGCAGCAACCAGGCTGGTTTATATAGGCAATCAGCTCGTTAGCCGATTGCTCTCCAGGTCTTCAGTGGCCACGCCTCCTCGCCAACAGCCAACCAGCACCGCACACCTGTGAACGAGAAAGGGGCACTAATCCCCCCTCGGTCCCCCACTCACACAGTTAAAGGGGCAGAACAAAACATGGGGACATGTCACTAATAATATACCACAATACACCTCACCCGACTGTCGTTGAGCTCAGCTTAATTTCATTTTAAGAATTGAATTAAAATAAACAAAAACAGCGAACTTGTCTAATTTGTAGAACAGTAACACTGCCTTTAAATCCTCTGCCTGTCTGTCTGTATCTCGCTCTCCTTCATTAAACATGACAAACGTCAAGGACAAGGCTTCGACATCACGGATTTCGTTTTCCGTTTCTTCATTTTTTAGGGAAAACGTCAAACTAGTTGCGACGTAATGTTTTCATCGGCACTCATGACGTGGTTCATTTATCAGCAAACAAATAATTCCCCCGTCAGATATCAAAACACACGTCAGGGGAATTGATGACAGAGAGAGTCATTTATTTTAAATATTGATGAATGAAGAAAAAAATGGGCTCCAGTACAAGAGGCACTTTTCTCATCCAGGGCTAAAGGGCAGGTGATTGAGCACCACTAGGGGTCTATCTGTGCACGAGCCTGAGGAGGTCTGTGTACTGAACAATGTGACGCTTCCTCACAGCCTCTGATTCTCTCGTAGACACAAGCAGCACCTTCAGGTCACTGATGATTATGTCCAGCATTATGAAGCATTATGAAGCATTACGAAGCAGTGACGTCAGTGGATGAAGCGTTCAGGAAGTAGACCTGGGAGAGGAGAGGCGTGGACGTGCTCGTGGGCTTCAGGCTGCATGGACTCACACCAGTTCACTGCGTCGGTGTCCTGCAAGGTGTGGACGGGGCACGCGGATCCGCTCAAGGTTCCCCAGTCGGAACCAGGGGACAGGAAGCCCACTTCACTGAACCTCATCACTCTCCATTGGTCGGAGAGGCCCTCACAGATGAGTGACAGGGACTCGGAGGTGAAGTGTTGCGCTCTGTCGGGATTCACCGTGAGAGACGCTGTCGAGTCAAAATCTGAAAGAAAATAAGACGGGATCCCTTGAACCAAGCGTGGAGATATTTCACAATGAGGACAATGAAAATAAGCCCAGAATGATGTGAGCGGAAACCAAATTATGATTTAATGTTGAGTTGTCTTTTTATGCAGAGTAAGTAAAAAGGAGAAAATGCACCGACCTGCAGCCCAGATAAACGTGGACTCACTAAGGAAAGTGTAATACGCTGGATCTCCTCTCCAAGCTCTGCACAAATATCCCGTTGTGTTCGCTGGTCCGTGGATAACGTAGGAATCCAAAGTGGTCCCGTGGGGTTGTCAGGTAGCTGCCTCGGGCTGTAGAGCCTCTCTGATACCTGAGGAACGGCCTCATACCAGACGAAGCTCCACCCTGCGGACGGATGCTCAGAGTCCCCGAGACGCCGGAGACACCGTGAGGACAGGCTTGGGTCTCCCTGCTGGGAAGGATTCACTATTACGAGGTGGGGTTTTTCTCCTGGAAATTCTATATAAAGTATATTTTTATTATTACTTATATAACTTACAGCCACCTATTATCAATTCAAAGACTTAACTCCACTTTGTTGAAGATTGGAGGTGAGTTTTGTCCCTTTCTGTACATCTGTAGCGCCCCCGGTGGTTGACATAAGCAGTAAACTCATATTCTTTTACATTCGGAGGTTTTTTTAGCTCTTTGTTCTCCACAGTGTTTCTCTTTAAATCACACCTGAGAGAGATTGTCTCTTTTGTGTAGATCTTGGGCCGTTTCATGGTCACAACAGCTCTGTTTGATTTGAGTAATAATTCTAATTATTGTTATAATAAACATCATTATTGTATCACTAATGAATAGAAATATCCATTGCGCAATCGTCACCCTGTCACTTAGACACTCAAGGCCTCATGTGTTTCCCATCCTGGTAACGAGCTGGCTGGACGCTGCACACCTGCATCCAGTTTCCAATCCTCACCAGAGCCTTCAAGTAACCTGCTTTTCCCACCACTCCTCGCCAGATCTTCCCGTAGAATCACCTGATCTGCAGTCGCCAACCGGCGCCGCTTGTCTGGATTATTGTTTTGGCTACCAACTTACACACGCCGGGACGCTGACCACTCTTCTGGATTCAGATGTATAAATGTACAGTAGGAATAACTGGACTTTCGGACCATTAAAACGCCCAGCAGCGATTTAACGTTTCCTGTCTCCTGAGTGTTGCATTTGAGTTCAGAACACTACACAGCCCTGACAGCCGAGGCGAGTTTAAAGGAAGCATTCCTTGATCCGAAGCTCCGGACCCAACAGAAACACTGCTTAGACCTGTTTATTTATTTATTAATGAGCATAAAATGACCAAACATTACAAAATGTATTAAACACCTCCAGTGAAAGATAAAATACAAACCGCATCTGGTAAACCTTTAAAAATGACAAAAATAAACATAATTGTTGGAGAAATGTTGTTCAATAAAAGATAATAAATGTGTAAAGATTTTTTTTTTTTATCAGAAGCAAAAGAGAAGATCACCAACGCATTAAAGCTCAAAGACGTCAAACTGCTTTTTTCTGCTTTTCAAACCAGCCTCCATTCAAAGATTTCTACAAAAGCTTTAAAAAACAAAGAGGAAAAACAAAAAGTACAGTAAACACTCAATACCAACATTTAAAAAAGAATATATGTAATAATCTAGACTATTTTCACCAAGTAAAACCTTTAAAGACTTCTGATGTATTTCCTTTAAATGATCTTTTCATGGGTTAACTACAAAACACAGTCTCATATCAGGAAAGAGGAAGTTCACACAATAATTACTCAAAAAGACAAAGATGTGGTTTTTCATGTCGTCATCCGTTCCCCTGGTTCTGTCCATGCAGATGTTTTATTCATCTGAACAAAGAGAAGGAAAAGAGATTAAAGGTTATTTAAGAGTAACGGGTGTAAGTGTTGTGTTTGACCTTTGCTGCCTGCTGGTAGTAATGCACAAGTACACTCACATTGTACTTCATGGTCTGTTGTACTTGAAGTACCTGCAGCTGTTTACATCGTCACATTTTGGTAATCGCTGTCCTCTGGTTCATCATTCGTCCCTGTTAGAAGGATCAGATGAATGCATGAAGAGACACTTTGTTCTCCTTTATTAAAGCTCTGCTGGCCTACAAAAGCATCTCAACTGCTGCAGCTTGATCCCTTATAGAAGTATTCACATTAGCCATCAATGTCTTTAAGCTCAAACACAGAATCTGTGACATCATCGATACACTTTGTCTTTCATTTAAAGGACGGTCAACCAGTCACATGATCATCTGATTCTAGTATTTAACAGCTGTGTGATGAACACACAGGATTTACTGCACCTTGTTTACGTTGTCCAGAGCCTCTGATTGTTTCATAGAGACAAGAATCACCTGCAGAGCAGTGAAGATAAAGACGAGGTCATTCAATCATTTCAACCACTTTGTATGAATTATATAATCTGCTCAAACAGATAATCAGATATGTAAATGCATAAAATTAAAGAACATATTAAATAAATCAGGATTAAAACTGACCATGAATAAGAGCAGCGTAATGTCCGTCTTGAGTTTCACCCTGGTTGATCATGTGGTCTGTAGCTGGGCTGTGATTGGTCCTCTGAGACCTTGTGGGTCCAAAACATGAAGTAAATACAGAGGATTGAACGAGGAACATGTAAAGTCCTGCTGCCGTGTTCAGAGGGAGAGAAGAGAGGCTTGTACCAACCTGCTGAGGCTTGAAGCTGCAAGAAAAAGGTTTCACATTGTTAATTAATGAGTGTGTGTAATAATATGTGTGACTTTGACTTATTTCAGTGAAATCAGTCTGATATCAGAAGGAAAAGATCTCACCTTTTGACTTTCTGTAGCAACACAGAATCAGCAGCAGGAGAATAATCAGTAAAACTCCAGAAACCAGACCAACCACCAACAGCAGGAGAAACACAGAGCTTGATGCTGCTTCTTCAGGATCTACACACAAGTACACACCAACCATGAAGAGATACACAAGTACTACAACACACACACTCAAATACACTCACATGAACCTTTGATCACACAACATTCACCTTTCACTGCTGCTCATGTTAGTTTCATTTGTGTCTTTAAACACTAAAATGAATAAAACTATATTGTCTTACACAAACAAATAGTTTAATTCAGTTACACCTTTTGTAACTCAGACTGTAACACATATTACAAAGAAAACATCTTCTACTCGTACTCACGTTCCACTGACAACCAGCTCTCTGCTGAGGTCAAAGTCTCCAAACCTGGAGGTGAATTCCTTCCTCTACATTTATAAAAGCCTTCATCTGACTTAGTAACTGCAGAGATAAACAGCTCCCCTCCGACACCATTTGGGAGGAGTTTGTCATTTTTATAGAAATCCACATTATGAAGAAGATCTTTTGTCCTCAACGTGCAGCCAAGAGTGACCGAATGTCCCTCAGTCACAGGATGGACAGGACTCACCAGGATGACATCACCACCTGTAAAGAGACCAGAGGACAGGAAGTCAAACAAGCTGATGTCCAATGAAGAGAAGACATTTATAGTTTACATTTGTTGTCCACATTCACACAGTAGCTGAGCGAATAGCTGCATTTCATGGATGAAAGAGACGGCCCTTTGGTGACGTACATGCTCACAGTTACATCTTTAATAAATGCTCAATATGTCGGAGACAAATGTCCACTTAGTGGCAGTGAGCTACAGAATGGTCTAAAAGGTCCAACGTGGAGGAGCCAGGATGGAGCCAGATAACTCCACAGCTCCTCCTGGTCTAAAGTCAATGGTGGATGTCTATGGTCATAAAGAGGAAAGTCAACCACAAAGACGTGTTGGACAATACAGAGAAATGATACTGAAACAAACTAAATATTGAGTTAAAGTCCTTATAAAGTCACCTTAAAATGTCAGCACTCTACAATAAGATGTGTAACTACTTTAGATGTAAAACCTTTAAATGAATATAAACTCACTGTGTGTAGTGATGTTGGCTGCATTGCTGGACTGTGTTGCAGACTCACACCAGTACACTCCACTACTCGCTCTAGTGTCGGTGTTGCATGTGGATCCAGTCATTTGTCCCCAGTGAGAACAGGATGACATGAAGCCAGATTCATCAGCCTTCATCACTCTCCACTCAGCAGAGTTTCCCTCACAGCTCAGTGACAGTGACTCTGTGCTGAAGTGCTGCAGTCTGTGAGGACTCACTGTGAGAGACGCTGCTGGATTCACACCTGAAGACACGTCATTAGGAGACACACACAGGACAAACTATGTCAACACAAACAGGACATTTATTCTCTTGTGCAAGAATATAAAAGTGTGAACAAACTCACCTCCAGACCAGACAATCTTCACATCACTGTACAGAGTGTAAAACACAGGATCTCCTCTTCCAGCTCTGCACACATATCCTGCTGTGTGTGTCTGTCCATGAAGAATGTAGGAATCCTGTTCAGTCCCAGTGGTGTTACCAGCTAGAAGCTCATAGGTGTAGTTGGGTGACAGTTCTGGAACAGCCTGATACCAGAAGAACCTCCATCCTGCAGACGGAGGTTCAACACTGCAGGTCAGAGTCACTGAGTCTCCAGGACTCGTCCATGATGGAGACACTGTGAGGACAGGCTGAGGGACACCTGTTGGAAAGAGATTTCACACAATGAAGACGTGTTCTGATGAGTCCTTGGTGGATTACTTTCACTGCTGATGTCCTCCATCTTTCACTTCAACTGTGTAAAACAGGTGTGATGGTACATTGTCTTTAAATAAATTAACTAATTAAACAACTCAAATATTCTGTTTTGATTATTTCAAATATAAATACTGACTTACCTGATGTTTTTACTGTGAAAGCATCACTCCATTCTGTTGTAGAGCCTCCATCTTTCAGTCTGCCCTTACAGCTGTAGTCTCCTCTGACTGATGATGTCATCATGGAGCCTCTTGGGTTTGGAGGTGTGTAATAGTCGGGTGTTCTCCATTCATACTCCCACTCAGAGCCTCCTCCCTCCTCTATTCCACATGTGAGAGTGATCGTCTCTCCAGAGTAAATCTCAGGCAAGTCGTGTTGCAGAGTCACAACAGCTCTGTTTGTGACTGTTCATCATCATCAGGCCCCAAATAGAAAAGTTACACAAACAGAGTTTTAGTGTGAGTCTTAATCCTTATTCACAAATACTTTTTCTACATGTTTTGTTTCACATCAACTATCAGTTTAGTTCTTTACCGACTGGATGGCTGTACTCTGTGTAGTAAACTGGGTCTCCTCTTCCTCCTCTGCACCAGTAGACTCCTCCACCAGAGGGAGAGATGCTTCCACTCTGGAGGAGAACATCATCTCCTGTTTTCAGAGGTTCAGAGGTTTTCTCGTCTTTGTACCAGAAGTACTTCCATCCAGATGATGATGATGATGATGATGAAGACCCCACAGAGCAGGTCAGGGTCACACGTCCCGCTACAGGAGAGTCTTTGCTCAGTTGGGCCTTTGGTTTTGCTGCTTTAATGTAGAACAAAGACCAAACAATGTAATTATTGTGCCCGTGAAATAGTTTTTTTTTTCAAACTTCTTTAACTTTCTCAAAGATAATTCAGAGGATTCATCACACTGACAATGTTAAATTCCTGCAGCTCTTTAATATGAAACATTTTTAGCCTCTGTTTTGATTTTCTTTGGTTCAGATTCTTCATCCTCATATTTGCACATGTAAGAGCTCCATCAGACGTCAGAGAAATGGTGATTTCATGTGTGTGTTGATGGTTTGTGTCCATCTCAATAAGTGTTTTGTCTTTGTAGAAGTCAGCATTCTTCTCCTTTCTCTGGTCTCCACGTCTACAGTGAAGAGCCACTGATTCTCCTTCATACAAGGAGGACGCAGGAGTTAAAGGATCACATCTTTGTCCGTGGAACAGTTACTTCTTTGCTTTACTGAATCAGCTTCATTAAATGAACAATGATACAAGATATCAGTGATTCATGTTTCAAACATAATTATAATTTAACATAAAGTTGTAGACAGAAGAAGATGTCAAAGTCAGTCTCTGTAATAAATAATAAAAGGTTCACTAAGTAATGAGAACATTTCACCTGAAGGAGGCGCCACACTCTGCTCATAAGTTTGATCCGTTTGTGTAAACAATAATTAAACAATCACTCATTTCTAATTTCTCAATAAAATTGGATGGTTTGTCTTATCATGTTAATGTTCTTTTCATAATCAGTCCATCTTTCTTTTTTTATTTGAAATGATCAATATTATCTGATAATTGATCCTTTTAAACAAAGATCAGCTGACTAAACAGCATCAGTGTTCAACTTCAAGGTTCCTCTTACACTAGTTAACATTTATTAATTATCACTACATTATATCACATTAGCACTTCATCGAACAGGTTTATTAAATCAACACGTCTCATTAATATAAAAGTGCTTTAATGAACTCGTCGTGATGGTAAAACTTTGATCACTTACCTGATACACTTAGAGAGACTTTATTACTTTCTCTTCTAACGTAGGAAGACTTCTGAGAAGCAAAACACTGATATTCACCACTATATCCTGTAGTTAGAGATGATGATGTAAATCTATTTTCTGGTCTGGAGTTGGTCAACCAATGATCATGCCATGTGAATGAGTAAACCCAGTCAGCGTTGTTTCCTTCCTTTAAGTCACATATGAAGGTAACTTTCTCTCCAGTAAATAAAGGAGACCAGTTTGGCTCAATATGCAGCAAAGCATCTAGAAACAAACACAACATGCAAAGAATAAATTGTGCTTTTTTTTTTGTATTCATCATAAATGAACTAAAGAGAACAGAAATATTAAATGTAAACAGTGATAGAAGGTGTTGAATCGTCTTGAGTGAATTTATCAAATAAAGGAAGTTGTACAAAAACCTTTAGCGTGTCCACAGTAGAGGAGAATATTCAGCACTAAAACAAAGTGAGAAACATCATCACGCATCATCAAACTGACAGAAACTATTAACTTCTGCCATTTAAAAAGTTGTATGTATGAAAACTATGATTTAAAGAGAGAAAGTACTCACAGAAAAGCCCCAACACACCAAACAAAGCGCGTCCCATCCTCACGTCCACGCTGACACTTTGCTTCTGAGAAACGCTTCGTGTCTGCAGACGGTTTCAAACGTGTGAAACATGAAGAGAAATGTGGAAATGCAGAGACAACATATGAATATTAGACGAGAGGTTTTCTCTAACTTCTGTTTATGGTCCGTGCTTCCTTCCCTTTTGACCCACCAGACGCTGTTAAACACGTCACATTTTAATGCTTATAGGAAATAAGACCAGTTTCAGTAGTCTGATTAATGCAGATATATTTAATGTCCTTTCTTCATACACGGTCATAAGCTAAAGGTTTCTGTAAAGGCAGCTGCAGGAAGTCAAAGGTCTCCCCTGTAATATTAATACACTTAATAATCCATAAATGATCCTTCTCACCAAACTGGGACGATTTCACAATAAAATCCACAAACAACTTGTAAATGTCGTCACTTCATGGTGAGATTCTGGCGTCTCGATGTCTCGTCTCCTACAGGAAGTGACTGTGCTCGAACAGGACACGAAGAGACAGAAGGAAGAGGACGTGAAGAGAGACGAAAACCTCTCCATGCTCCTCGCCTCCTAATACTATATTATATTATATATATATTAATATTATATATGTGTGATGTAGTTGCACTGTGCACATTTGTGATATTTTGTTAATATCTGAAAAAAGGAAAGAAAATATTTTTGTCCCATTAAAATGAATTGTTCAAACTCTGCTAACTTCTATATTCTTTATTCTACAGAAGCACTTTTAGTTTGAAGTACATTCAGAGAGCCAGAGAAAGGTGTTTGTTTCACAATAACTGATATAAAACACCCTGTGAGGAAGAAGTGAATCACTGAAGCAGATTCAGAGGCTGAAACAGACCAAAATAAATCCACCAACGTTTAATTAGACTTAAATGTAGAAAGTGAGCCGTTTTATTTGATCAACCTTAAGGTTCCTTTTTGTGCATCAAAGCCACATTCAACTCTACCAGCAAACACCGCAGCAGGAGGAAGTGATGCATTCTGGGATGCCTCTTTCACCACAACTGAACCGTTGTCTGAGACGTGTGAATTAAACTCAAATAACAGTTAGTTTTCGGTCTTTTTGAGTTGTTTTTTTTGTATTTTTCCATCAAAAACCAAACTTTGTCCAACTATACATTTAGAGAAGAAATGAATTGGCAGTAAAACGTTTAACACTTGAAAAGAGGAAACAGTTCAGTCTCTTCACAGGCCTGTGGTCAGTAATGTAGAAGCCGCAATCGCGTAAGACAAAAATAAAGAAGGTGCAGAAGAGAATTTCGACAAACTCTTTAGTTCCTCATCTGCAGCACCATGTTGAGACAAAACCATTCAGTTTAATACATATATGTGAGGTATATAAATATATTATTATAACCAAATGGTGCAACATACAAAAGCAATCAGTCACATAGAAACACTTTATAAGCCTGGTGACACTTGGTGGGCGGATGATGTCACTACTTGAGGAGACTCTTCACTACAGACTCACAACCTCCAGTTCAACGTGATTCACACATAAACCACCTTCTAATCAATCCGTATGAATATGAATCAAAAGTTCACATTTCAACTAATTTAATCATGTTTGTTCTGGTAGTCGTGACATTGACATATTTAATCAGCAGTGACTCTAATTTTTGGATTTTATGCTGAAACATCTCACGTCTAAATGTTTTTACAAATTAATCGGTTCTTGTGAGACTGATTTAAAAAATAAAAAGGTTAAATACATTTGTGTTGTAAGTCTGAGGAGAAGAAGCACAAGGCTTCTCAGAGTCAGTCAAACCGTTCCTGTTCCCCTTCATACACAAGATGTGTTGCTACTGGTTACGTGGTGTCACATGACCACATTCACACCACAGCTGATCCGCTTGTACAGAGGTGTCGTACTCTGTGATGTATGATAACGTTTTAATTCTAAGAAGTAGAAGTTAAGTTCAATAAACTGCAAAAACAAGTCATTGTGACATTACATTACATTACATTACATTACATTACGTGTCATTTAGCAGACGCTTTTATCCAAAGCGACTTACATTACACTTTAAACCCATGGCTTTTTCACATTTTTGCCCGGGGAGCAATTAGGGGTTAGGTGTCTTGCTCAGGGACACTTCGACATGGAACAAGGGGCAGCCTGGAATTGATGCAACAGTGCACGTGAACCTTGAGTGGACGGGGAGGGCCACAGGTTTTTTTTACAATGTGTCTCCCGGGTCTCCTGGACATGGCCCCCTGGGACAGAACCACAGCGGGCCGAGTCCCGGACTAAAGGAGGACTCGCAGGTGCAGGTTGTGGCACTCTGACGCCCCCTTGTGGTCCTCTGAGGACATTTCAGATTCAGCTGCTCGTGTTCTCCAGGTTCAGGTGGAAGAAGGACGTCCGTATCCTCATTCTGTTCATCTCTCCGGCTCCTCAAAGCTTCTATTGGGGGGATCTGGACCTTTTGGGCGCCTGCAACACACTGTACAAAGAGTTGATGTGGTCTTCCTCGCCCGGGGGGGCACCCTGTGAGCCCGACGCCTCTTGCTCCCCCCCGTGTCCTTCCGTCCCCACGCCGCCATCACCCTCGCCCTGAGGCGACCCCGTCTCCTCCCTCGGGCCCACGATGGGGCTGCTGGTCTGGCGGGGCGGGGGGGGCTCCACGTTTACATAGCAGGCCTCGGCTTGGCTGGAAGAGGAAGAGGTGGAGACTCTCCACTCGGGGGGCGGCGAGGCCTCCGCCTGCTGGCTCTGTGCTATCCGAGCAGCAGGTGTCCCCTCCTGGAGACAACGCAGCGGAGTGAGACAAGACGCCTCCTCGCGTTACACCAACACTCCTTTTCACACCCTGAAGGGGGGGTCAGAGTCAGGAGCATCTGGAAAGTGGAACGCTGAGGTCACGCGGCTCACCTGATGCCCACTACATCCGCTGGGAAGGAGCCCCGTGGCCCCCAAGAGGACGAAGACACACAGGGACACGCACACTGCAACTGAGTTATTAGAACGATGAGCAGGAGGCCCAAAAACTATACATATACAGTTAAAAGTATTTGCCCCCTGCTGGTACCACGAGTGAACTAAATAAACATGTTTTTTGGAAAGACGAGTTAAAAATCTAATATTCAAGTGACAAAAATAAAGAAAAAGTATTTTTTCAAGTCACTGTATATATAAATCCTGCTCTAATACAAATCACGTAAATCTTACACATTGCCTCCGTGCTTTCAGACACATTGCTCGCGCTGACGTGGTATTTCCCCCGCAGACGACGGACGTGTTGTCAGTGAAAATGATGATGATGGTGGTGACCTTCCTGTTGGACCTCTGGGAGGTTCTGCAACCCGCTACGTCACAGACAGACCACGCCCACTCCTCCCCTAAGAAGCAGTTGATCCTCATGATAGGTGTGGGGACAGTTTCTACAACAGATACATTAGGTGCATTTGGGCTGCCTGCTGGCGCCCTCTAGTGGCGACTAGTAGAAACTACACGGCTCTCATCAAAAACTTTGCAGAGAAACCAGTGAGAAGAGATTTTTTAACCCTTTTTCAACGCAGTAAGAACTATTGAAGCCCATTTCAGCCACAAAAAAACGAAGGGTTCGAAAGTCCAAATTATGAGATATAAAGTCCAAATTAGGACTAGATATGCGCATGCGCAGGCTGCTTCATAGTTCGCTACAGTAACTTTACAGTTTCTGCAACAGATACATTAGATGCATTTGGGCTGCCTGCTGGTGCCCTCTAGTGGCGACTAATAGAAGCTACACAGCTCATAAAAAACGCATTAGGAACTCAGGCACGTGCACAGACATTTTGGGGGGCAGGTGCTCAAAACAAAACCCGTTGCCAAAATGATTCTACCTATATACTTATTTGTGTTAACAAACTCAAATTGAATAAATAAATACCAGGCAAAAACAGACAAAACCAGGCCATATTGTACTGAAGCAATAAGGTACGAGAGGCTGTACTTTATCCTCAATAATGTTACAGTCCTTCACTTCGCTCATGACGTCCACATCAATTGTCCTCTTTAGCTACAGCCCTAAAACGGCTACGAAAGCTCGCATTGCCCGAAACGGTTACTTGCAGCTTTTCTAATCGTTTCTATTCGTCACCGAGCTAAAAGCTGAATTGACAGCTAACAAATGCGCTGCTGTGGTTTCCCTGACCTTCTGCTTTTAGAGTCTCCTTTCTTGGTATTATGCTGCCAATTTTGTAAATGAGATAAACAATGTTGTGCATAATAATTAAGAGTGACTTACCCAATCTCTACAGAGCTGACAACACACACACACGTTAGAAGCATAAGCAGTGTTACGTTTCCACCTCAGGTGGAGCGCGCTCGCGCTTGCTTTGACACACAAGGCCTCTCTCCCTCCTTTCTCCTTTATCTCTGCAGCAACCAGGCTGGTTTATATAGGCAATCAGCTCGTTAGCCGATTGCTCTCCAGGTCTTCAGTGGCCACGCCTCCTCGCCAACAGCCAACCAGCACCGCACACCTGTGAACGAGAAAGGGGCACTAATCCCCCCTCGGTCCCCCACTCACACAGTTAAAGGGGCAGAACAAAACATGGGGACATGTCACTAATAATATACCACAATACACCTCACCTGACTGTCGTTGAGCTCAGCTTAATTTCATTTTAAGAATTGAATTAAATTAAACAAAAACAGCGAGCTTGTCTAATTTGTAGAACAGTAACACTGCCTTTAAATCCTCTGCCTGTCTGTCTGTATCTCGCTCTCCTTCATTAAACATGACAAACGTCATGAGAGTCATTTATTTTAAATATTGATGAATGAAGAAAAAAATGGGCTCCAGTACAAGAGGCACTTTTCTCATCCAGGGCTAAAGGGCAGGTGATTGAGCACCACTAGGGGTCCATCTGTGCACGAGCCTGAGGAGGTCTGTGTACTGAACAATGTGACGCTTCCTCACAGCCTCTGATTCTCTCGTAGACACAAGCAGCACCTTCAGGTCACTGATGATTATGTCCAGCATTATGAAGCATTACGAAGCATTACGAAGCAGTGCCGTCAGTGGTCGAAGCGTTCAGGAAGTAGACCTGGGAGAGGAGAGGCGTGGACGTGCTCGTGGGCTTCAGGCTGCATGGACTCACACCAGTTCACTGCGTCGGTGTCCTGCAAGGTGTGGACGGGGCACGCGGATCCGCTCAAGGTTCCCCAGTCGGAACCAGGGGACAGGAAGCCCACTTCACTGAACCTCATCACTCTCCATTGGTCGGAGAGGCCCTCACAGATGAGTGACAGGGACTCGGAGGAGAAGTGTTGCGCTCTGTCGGGATTCCCCCGTGAGAGACGCTGTCGAGTCAAAATCTGAAAGAAAATAAGACGGGATCCCTTGAACCAAGCGTGGAGATATTTCACAATGAGGACAATGAAAATAAGCCCAGAATGATGTGAGCGGAAACCAAATTATGATTTAATGTTGAGTTGTCTTTTTATGCAGAGTAAGTAAAAAGGAGAAAATGCACCGACCTGCAGCCCAGATAAACCTGGACTCACTAAGGAAAGTGTAATACGCTGGATCTCCTCTCCAAGCTCTGCACAAATATCCCGTTGTGTTCGCTGGTCCGTGGATAACGTAGGAATCCAAAGTGGTCCCGAGGGGGTTGTCAGGTAGCTGCCTCGGGCTGTAGAGCCTCTCTGATACCTGAGGAACGGCCCCATACCAGACGAAGCTCCACCCTGCGGACGGATGCTCAGAGTCCCCGAGACGCCGGAGACACCGTGAGGACAGGCTTGGGTCTCCCTGCTGGGAAGGATTCACTATTACGAGGTGGGGTTTTTCTCCTGGAAATTCTATACAAAGTATATTTTTATTATTACTTATAGAACTTACAGCCACCTATTATCAATTCAAAGACATAACTCCACTTTGTTGAAGATTGGAGGTGAGTTTTGTCCCTGTCTGTACATCTGTAGCGCCCCCGGTGGTTGACATAAGCAGTAAACTCATATTCTTTTACATTCTGAGGTTTTTTTAGCTCTTTGTTCTCCACAGTGTTTCTCTTTAAATCACACCTGAGAGAGATTGTCTCTTTTGTGTAGATTTTGGGCCAGTTGGGTTTCATGGTCACAACAGCTCTGTTTGATTTGAGTAATAATTCTAATTATTGTTATAATAAACATTATTATTGTATCACTAATGAATAGAAATATCCATTGCGCAATCGTCACCCTGTCACTTAGACACTCAAGGCCTCATGTGTTTCCCATCCTGGTAACGAGCTGGCTGGACGCTGCACACCTGCATCCAGTTTCCAATCCTCACCAGAGCCTTCAAGTAACCTGCTTTTCCCACCACTCCTCGCCAGATCTTCCCGTAGAATCACCTGATTTGCAGTCGCCAACCGGCGCCACTTGTCTGGATTATTGTTTTGGCTACCAACTTACACAAGCCGGGACGCTGACCACTCTTCTGGATTCAGATGTATAAATGTACAGTAAGAATAACTGGACTTTCGGACCATTAAAACGCCCAGCAGGGCATTAACCTTTTCCTCTCTCCTGAGTGTTGCATTTGAGTTCAGAACACTACACAGCCCTAACAGGTGAGTTTAAAGAAGCATTCCTTGATCCGAAGCTCAGAACCCAACAGAAACACTGCTTAGACCTGTTTATTTATTTATTAATGATGCATAAAATGACCAAACATTACAAAATGTATTAAACACCTCCAGGTGAAGATAAAATACAAACCGCATCTGGTAAACCTTTGAAAATGACAAAAATAAACATAATTGTTGGAGAAATGTTGTTCAATAAAAGATAATAAATGTGTAAAGATTTTTTTTTTTATCAGAAGCAAAAGAGAAGATCACCAACGCATTGAAGCTCAAAGACGTCAAACTGCTTTTTTCTGCTTTTCAAACCAGCCTCCATTCAAAGATTTCTACAAAAGCTTTAAAAAACAAAGTGAGGAAAAAAAAAATGTACAGTAAACACTCAATACCAACATTTAAATAAGAATATATGTAATAATCTAGACTAATTTCACCAAGTAAAACCTTTAAAGACACATGACCTATTTCCTTTAAATGATCTTTTCATGGGTTAACTACAAAACACTCATATCAGGAAAGAAGAAGTTCACACAATAATTACTCAAAAAGACAAAGATGTGGTTTTTCATGTCGTCATCCGTTCCCCTGGTTCTGTCCGTGCAGATGTTTTATTCATCTGAACAAAGAGAAGGAAAAGAGATTGAAGGTTATTTAAGAGTAACAGGTGTAAGTGTTGTGTTTGACCTTTGCTGCCTGCTGGTAGTAATACACAAGTACACTCACATTGTACTACATGGTCTGTTGTACATGAAGTACCTGCAGCTGTTTCAATCGTCACATTTTGGTAAATGCTCTCCTCTGGTTCATCATTCGTCCCTGTTAGAAGGATCAGATGAATGCATGAAGAGACACTTTGTTCTCCTTTATTAAAGCTCTGCTGGCTGACAAAAGCATCTCAACTACTGCAGCTTGTTCCCTTATAGAAGTATTCACATTAGCCATCAATGTCTTTAAGCTCAAACACAGAATCTGTGACATCATCGATACACTTTGTCTTTCATTTAAAGGACGGTCAACCAGTCACATGATCATCTGATTCTAGTATTTAACAGCTGCGTGATGAACACACAGGATTTACTGCACCTTGTTTCAGTTGTCCAGAGCCTCTGATTGTTTCATAGAGACAAGAATCACCTGCAGAGCAGTGAAGATAAAGACGAGGTCATTCAATCATTTCAACCACTTTGTATGAATTATATAATCTGCTCAAACAGATAATCAGATATGTAAATGCATGAAAGTAAAGAACATATTATTAAACCAATCAGGATTAAAGCTGACCATAAAGAAGAGCAGCGTAATGTCTGTTTTGAGTTTCACCCTGGTTGATCATGTGGTCTGTAGCTGGGCTCTGATTGGTCCTCTGAGACCTTGTGGGTCCAAAACATGAAGTAAATACAGAGGATTGAATGAGGAACATGTAAAGTCCTGCTGCCGTGTTCAGAGTGAGAGAAGAGAGGCTTGTACCAACCTGCTGAGGCTTGAAGCTGCAAGAAAAAGGTTTCACATTGTTGATTAATGAGTGTGTGTAATAATATGTGTGACTTTGACATATTTCAGTGAAATCAGTCTGATATCAGAAGGAAAAGATCTCACTTTTTGACTTTCTGTAGCAACACAGAATCAGCAGCAGGAGAATAATCAGTAAAACTCCAGAAACCAGAACGACAACCAACAGCAGGAAAAACACAGAGCTTGATGCTGCTTCTTCAGGATCTACACACAAGTACACACCAACCATGAAGAGATACACAAGTACTACAACACACACACTCAAATACACTCACATGAACCTTTGATCACACAACATTCACCTTTCACTGCTGCTCATGTTAGTTTCATTTGTGTCTTTAAACACTAAAATGTACAAAACTATATTGTCTAGTTGAAGACTGCAACAAACTATGTTGTTGAATCTTTGTTAAACTAAATATTGAGTTAAAGTCCTTATAAAGTCACCTTAAAATGTCAGCACTCTACAATAAGATGTGTAACTACTTTAGATGTAAAACCTTTGAATGAATATAAACTCACTGTGGGTAGTGATGTTGGCTGCATTGCTGGACTGTGTTGCAGACTCACACCAGTACACTCCACTACTCGCTCTAGTGGTGTTGCATGTGGATCCAGTCATTTGTCCCCAGTGAGAACAGGATGACATGAAGCCAGATTCATCAGCCTTCATCACTCTCCACTCAGTAGAGTTTCCCTCACAGCTCAGTGACAGTGACTCTGTGCTGAAGTGCTGCAGTCTGTGAGGACTCACTGTGAGAGACGCTGCTGGATTCACACCTGAAGACACGTCATTAGGAGACACACACAGGACAAACTATGTCAACACAAACAGGACATTTATTCTCTTGTGCAAGAATATAAAAGTGTGAACAAACTCACCTCCAGACCAGACAAACTTCACATCACTGTACAGACTGTAAAACACAGGATCTCCTCTTCCAGCTCTGCACACATATCCTGCTGTGTGTGTCTGTCCATGAAGAATGTAGGAATCCTGTTCAGTCCCAGTGGTGCCACCAGCTAGAAGCTCATAGGTGTAGTAGAGTGACAGTTCTGGAACAGCCTGATACCAGAAGAACCTCCATCCTGCAGACGGAGGTTCAACACTGCAGGTCAGAGTCACTGAGTCTCCAGGACTCGTCCATGATGGAGACACTGTGAGGACAGGCTGAGGGACATCTGTTGGAAAGAGATTTCACAGAATAAAGACATGTTGTGATGAGTCCTTGGTGGATTACTGTCACTGCTGATGTCCTCCATCTTTTACTTCAACTGTGTAAACAGGTGTGATGGTACATTGTCTTTAAATAAATTAACTAATTAAACAACTCAAATATTCTGTTTTGATTCAGGGAAATAAAAATGATGGCTAACTGGTTGTTGTGTGAGTCTTAATCCTTATTAACAAATACATGTTCTACATGTTTAGTTTCATATCAACTATCAGTGTAGTTCTTTACAGCAGCAGCGTTCTCTACAGCTCCCAACAAAACCTTCAACAAACTCCAGTGTGTTCAGAACTCTTTTGCTCGACTGTCCACATCCACCGTCGCTATGAACACATCAGCTGGACCTTTGCAACCTCCACTGGCTAAAATACAGGATAGACTTCAACATATGACTCATCACCCAAAAAGCCCTGAACCACGTGGCCCCTCCCTTCCTCTCAGACCTCCTCCCCTCCACGCCCGACCCGTCGCCTCAGGTCCGCCAATGCCAACACCCTGAAGACCATCAGGACCAAGCGCCGGACCTGCTTCTCAGCTGCTGCACCTCCGATCTGGAACGCCCCCCCCATCCAAATCCACCAGGCTCCCCCCGCATCATCATTCAAACAAGCCCCCAAAACCAACCTCTTCAAATGCAAAACCCAACATGACTCATCCTCCAGTTTTCTTCAGTTCTATTTCTTTTCATTTCTTTTGTTTTTTATTGTTTCTGTCTATTTCTCTTATCTGTATGTTTCCCTTACTTAGATTTCCATTGTAAAGCGTCTTTGGGTACCAAGAAAAGCACTAAAAAAAGAAAGTATTAATATTATTATTATATTTACCGACTGGATGGCTGTACTCTGTGTAGTAAACTGGGTCTCCTCTTCCTCCTCTGCACCAGTAGACTCCTCCACCAGAGGGAGAGATGCTTCCACTCTGGAGGAGAACATCATCTCCTGTTTTCGGAGGTTCAGAGGTTTTCTTGTCTTTGTACCAGAAGTACTTCCATCCAGATGATGATGATGATGAAGACCCCACAGAGCAGGTCAGGGTCACACGTCCCTCTACAGAGTCTTTGCTCAGTTGGGCCTTTGGTTTTGCTGTTTTAATGTAGAACAAAGAAAGAACAAATAAATTATTGTCAGTTCGTCCATATACATATTTATATAATAACCAGACTAAAATTTTAAATATTTGTCATTAATCAAAATATAAATACTGACATACCTGATGTTTTTACTGTGAAAGCATCACTCCATTCTGTTGTAGAGCCTCCATCTTTCAGTCTGCCCTTACAGCTGTAGTCTCCTCTGACTGATGATGTCATCATGGAGCCTCTTGGGTGTGGAGGTGTGTAATAGTCGGGTGTTCTCCATTCATACTCCCACTCAGAGCCTCCTCCCTCCTCTATTCCACATGTGAGAGTGATCGTCTCTCCAGAGTAAATCTCAGGCCAGTTGGGCTTCACAACAGCTCTGTTTGTGGCTGTTCATCATCATCAGGCCCCAAATAGAAAAGTTACACAAACAGAGTTTTAGTGTGAGTCTTAATCCTTATTCACAAATACTTTTTCTACATGTTTTTTTTCACATCAACTATCAGTTTAGTTCTTTACCGACTGGATGGCTGTACTCTGTGTAGTAAACTGGGGCTCCTCTTCCTCCTCTTCCTCCTCTGCACCAGTAGACTCCTCCACCAGAGGGAGAGATGCTTCCTCTCTGGAGGAGAACATCATCTCCTGTTTTCAGAGGTTCAGAGGTTTTCTCGTCTTTGTACCAGAAGTACTTCCATCCAGATGATGATGATGATGATGATGGTGATGATGATGATGACCCCACAGAGCAGGTCAGGGTCACACGTCCCGCTACAGGAGAGTCTTTTCTCAGTTGGGCCTTTGGTTTTGCTGTTTTAATGTAGAACAAAGACAAAACAATGTTATTATTGTGACTGTACTGAATTAATGGTTATTAAATTAATGAAGTTATGAGAACATTTCACCTGAAGGAGGCGCCACTGATAAACAATTAACAGAACACCTCCATCTGCACTACTTGCACTACATATTTATATTGGACTACTGCCACCTTATATTTATATATTATACATATCAGTAATGTTTATGCTTAGTTTTTGTGTTCTATTTTGTCCTTAATTTCTTTTTTCATATTTTTTTATATTTCTGTTGTTTATTGTTTATCTATGTAACTGTAACGGAGACTAATTCCATGTGCAAACACATACGGCCAATAAAGCCGATTCTGATTTGTTCAATTTGTCTTATCAATAATGAATCAATCACTCATCTATAATTTCTCAGTAGGGATTAAATATTGGATGGTTTGTCTCATCATGTTAATGTTCTTTTCATAATCAGTCCATCTTTCTTTGGTTTATTTAAAATGATCAATATTATCTGATAATTGATCCTTTTAAACAAAGATCAGCTGACTAAACAGCATCAGTGTTCAACTTCAAGGTTCCTCTTACACTAGTTAACATTTATTAATTATCACTACATTATATCACATTAGCACTTTATCAAACAGGTTTATTAAATCAACACGTCTCATTAATATAAAAGTGCTTTAATGAACTCGTTGTGATGGTAAAACTTTGATCACTTACCTGATACACTTAGAGAGACTTTATTACTTCTTCTTATAAGGTAGGGACGGATCTTCTGAGAAGCAACACACTGATATTCACCACTATCTCCTGTAGTTAGAGATGGTGATGTAAATCTATTTCCTGGTCTGTAGTTGGTCCAATGATCTTTCCGTCTGAATGAGTAAACCCAGTCAGTGATGTTTCCTTCCTGTGAGTCACATATGAAGGTAACTTTCTCTCCAGTAAATAAAGGAGACCAGTTTGGCTCAATATGCAGCAAAGCATCTAGAAACAAACACAACATGCAAATAATAAATTGTGTTTCTTGTATTTATCATAAATGAAGTAAAGAGAACAGAAATATTAAATGTAAACAGTGATAGAAGGTGTTGAATCGTCTTGAGTGAATTTATCAAGTAAAGAAAGTTGTATAAAAACCTTGAGCGTGTCCACAGTAGAGGAGAATATTCAGCACTAAAATAAAGTGAGAAACATCATCACGCATCATCAAACTGACAGAAACTATTAACTTCTGGCATTTAAAAAGTTCTATGTATGAAAACTATGATTTAAAGAGAGAAAGAACTCACAGAAAAGCCCCAACACGCCAAACAAAGCGCGTCCCATCCTCACGTCCACGCTGACACTCTTCTGAGAAACGCTTCGTGTCTGCAGACGGTTTCAAACGTGTGAAACATGAAGAGAAATGTGGAAATGCAGAGACAACATATGAATATTAGACGAGAGGTTTTCTCTAACTTCTGTTTATGGTCCGTGCTTCCTTCCCGTTTGACCCACCAGACGCTGTTAAACACGTCACATTTTAATGCTCATAGGAAATAAGACCAGTTCCAGTAGTCTGATTAATGCAGATATATTTAATGTCCTTTCTTCATACACGGTCATAAGCTAAAGGTTTCTGTAAAGGCAGCTGCAGGAAGTCAAAGGTCTCCCCTGTAATATTAATACACTTAATAATCCATAAATGATCCTTCTCACCAAACTGGGACGATTTCACAATAAAATCCACAAACAACTTGTAAATGTCGTCACTTCATGGTGAGATTCTGGCGTCTCGATGTCTCGTCTCCTACAGGAAGTGACTGTGCTCGAACAGGACACGAAGAGACAGACGGAAGAGGACGTGAAGAGAGACGAAAACCTCTCCATGCTCCTCGCCTCCTAATACTATATTATATTATATATATTAATATTATAGATGTGTGATGTAGTTGCACTGTACACGTTTGTGATATTTTGTTAATATCTGAAAAAAGGAAAGAAAATATTTTTATCACAGTAAAATGAATTGTTCAAACTCTGCTAACTTCTATATCCTTTATTCTACAGAAGCACTTTTAGTTTGAAGTACATTCAGAGAGCCAGAGAAAGGTGTTTCATGTTTCACAATGACTGATATAAGACACCCTGTGAGGAAGAAGTGAATCACTGAAGCAGATTCAGAGGCTGAAACGGACCAAAATAAATCCACCAACGTTTAATTAGACTTAAATGTAGAAAGTGAGCCGTTTTATTTGATCAACCTTAAGGTTCCTTTTTGTGCATCAAAGCCACATTCAACTCTACCAGCAAACACCACAGCAGGAGGAAGTGATGCATTCTGGGACGCCTCTTTCACCACAACTGAACCGTTGTCTGAGACGTGTGAATTAAAGTCAAATAACAGTTTGTTTTCAGTCTTTTTTAGTTGTTTTTTTGTATTTTTCAATCAAAAAACAAAACTTTGTTCAACTATACAATTAGAGAAGAAATGAATTGGCAGCAAAACGTTTCACACTTGAAAAGAGGAAACAGTTCAGTCTCTTCACAGGCCTGTGGTCAGTAATGTAGAAGCCGCAATCGCATAAGACAAAAATAGAGAAGGTGCAGAAGAGAATTTCCACAAACTCTTTAGTTCCTCATCTGCAGCAGCATGTTGAGACAAATGAGACAAAACCGTTCAGTTTAATACATATATGTGAGGTATATAAATATATTATAACCAAATGGTGCAACATACAAAAGCAATCAGTCACATAGAAACACTTTATAAACCTGGTGACACTTGGTGGGCGGATGATGTCACTACTTGAGGAGACTCTTCACTACAGACTCACAACCTCCAGTTCAACGTGATTCACACATAAACCACCTTCTAATCAATCCGTATGAATATGAATCAAAAGTTCACATTTCAACTAATTTAATCATGTTTGTTCTGGTAGTCGTGACATTGACATATTTAATCAGCAGTGACTCTAATTTTTGGATTTTATGCTCAAACATCTCACGTCTAAATGTTTTTACAAATTAATCGGTTCTTGTGAGACTGATTTAAAAAAGAAAAAGGTCAAATACATTTGTGTTGTAAGTCTGAGGAGAAGAAGCACAAAGCTTCTCAGAGTCAGTCAAACCGTTCCTGTTCCCCTTCATACACAAGATGTGTTGCTACTGGTTACGTGGTGTCACATGACCACATTTACACCACAGCTGATCCGCTTGTACAGAGGTGTCGTACTCTGTGATGTATGATAACGTTTTAATTCTAAGAAGTAGAAGTTAAGTTCAATAACCTGCAAAAACAAGTCATTGTGACATTGATGCAACAGTGCACGTGAACCTTGAGTGGACGGGCAGGGCCACAGGTTTTTTTTACAATGTGTCTCCCGGGTCTCCTGGACATGGCCCCCTGGGACAGAACCACAGCGGGCCGAGTCCCGGACTAAAGGAGGACTCGCAGGTGCAGGTTGTGGCACTCTGACGCCCCCTTGTGGTCCTCTGAGGACATTTCAGATTCAGCTGCTCGTGTTCTCCAGGTTCAGGTGGAAGAAGGACGTCCGTATCCTCATTCTGTTCATCTCTCCGGCTCCTCAAAGCTTCTATTGGGGGGATCTGGACCTTTTGGGCGCCTGCAACACACTGTACAAAGAGTTGATGTGGTCTTCCTCGCCCGGGGGGGGGCACCCTGTGAACCCGACGCCTCTTCCTCCCCTTACTATACAGTCAAAAGTATTTGCCCCCTGCTGGTACCACGATTGAACTGAATAAACACGTTTTTTGGAAAGCTGAGTTCAATTGCTATTACTTTTTCACACAGGGACAAGTAGATTTGGATATTTTTCTGAAAATTAAATTACCATTTAAAAATGCTTTTCAGGTTCTCTTTGTCGGATTAAAATGAGTTTGTTTGAAATATTTAGTGACACAAAAAAACAGGGTAAACACTTTTTCAAGTCACTGTATATATAAATCCTGCTCTAATAATACAAATCATCACGTAAATCTTACACATTGCCTCCGTGCTTTCAGACACATTGCTCGCGCTGACGTGATTTTTTCCCCCGCAGACGACGGACGTGTTGTCAGTGAATGTTGATGATGGTGACCTTCCTGTTTGACCTCTGTGAGGTCGTGCAACCCGCTACGTCACAGACAGACCACGCCCACTCCTCCCCGACGGAGCAGTTGATCCTTATGACAGGTCTGGGGAGTTTCTGCAACAGATACATCAGATGCATTTCGACTGCCTGCTGGCGCCCTCTAGTGGCGACTCGTAGAAACCACACGGCTCTCATAAAAAACTTGGCAGAGAAATCAGTGAGAAGAGACTTTTTAACCCTTTTTCAACGCATTAAGAACTATTGATGCCCATTTTCGTCACTAAAAAAACGAAGGGTTGGAAAGTCGAAATTATGACTTCATATGTGCATGCGCAGGCTGCTTCATAGTTCGCTACAGTAACTTTACAGATTCTGCAACAGATACATTAGATGCATTTGGGCTGCCTGATCCTCCCCTCTAGTGGCGACTAATAGAAACTACACGGCTCTCATTAAACGCATTAGGAACTCGGGCACGTGCACAGACATTTTGGGGCAGGTACTCAAAACAAAACAAAAGGGCACCCGTCGCCAAAATTATTCTTATATATTTGCAGGGCTGTAGTGGAGGGTAAACGCACGTAAACGCCGTTTACGCACCTCTGGAAATTTTGAAATAGAGTTTACGCACCCTTGAATAGCGTTTACCCACCTCTAACTGGCGTTTACGCAAGTTCCCTGCGCCTTGTATTCTTCCGTTGGAATAATCCGAAATAAACTTGGTGTAATTTTAAAACAGCTAAGACTTATATGTTGAACATATAAACGCCGTAGTCTGAATCATGTTCATCTGCGCTGTATTACGGTCTGTGAGCATCCAATCAGTGCCTTGCGGCTGCAGCAGCGACACCAATCAGGATCCAGGAGGTGTGTAAACACATACACGTTGTGGATCAGCCTGCCTGCCTACCTGTTCGGAATGTGTAATATTCGTAATATTTAACTGTCTAAGTACGACACGTACCAGTGAGTTTCTTTTAGTCGGCGCTGTATGCGTCCATCTTTATTAGTGCATATTAACTTCTGCGCATAAACGCGCACCTTGATGACCTCATCACAACATGACAGACATTTGAACCGGAAGTATCCAAGATACTACAGAATGGATTACCGCCGGTAATTAGCAATGGATATCAGGCGATATTTGAAGAGACCATCGAGTGCTCCCACTCCCACAGAGGCCCGCAGAAGGCCTCAAGTACAAAGTAAGACTTAGTGTTCCGTTGCTTCGCGTTGCTTCGCGTCGCACCGCGTCGAGGTCTGTATGATCAAAAAATTCAGAGTTTACCCACCTCTAACTTTACCACTACAGCACTGCCTGTGGCGGTTTGATAGATCGGAGCTGGCGAGGGGCGCGCGGTGTTCATGACACGCTGACGACGCGGCGCGAGACAACAACCGCGGGGGTCACGTGACCACACCGGGATCCGCAGGGGGGTCGTGGCCCGGAACACGGTTTGGAACGGAGGGAGCCGTAGGCGAGATACCAGCGATGCTTCCGGATTCTATCGGTCGACGAGAGCGGGACACCGAACCACGGACATTTCCTTCTTACCGGAGACGTTGACCGGTAGGGGGACACGCGATGGGGCGGCCCCTCCTCTGATTGTGTGTGTGTGTGTTTTATTTAGTAATTGAATTGTCGTGCAGAAGGTTTACTATGAATTACTGTGTTATTTAAGGTGCTTTAGAGTTCCATGCGCACCATGAATTGTGCACTTTGGGTTGCTGTGTTGTTGGAGTGGTTCTACGTTCTATGTTTGAGGGTCCGGAACAAACCAATAATATGTCCCCTGCCTAGAGGTCAATGCTTCCCTTATAAAATATTACCATAGTAACAGTATTTATCAAATCCTTCAGTCTGGTGATTGTGCTCCTCGAAGATCTGAACCTTTTTTTTTCTTTTTTTTTAATGCAGTAGCTTCCCTAAAGGGAGTTAGTTTTCTACATTACGTGTATTTTAGCTGACGCTTTTATCCAAAGCGAGTTACAATAAGTGCATTCGACCACAGGGATACAAACTCAGAACACGAAAGTGCCATTTCATCAAATAAGACAATTCACAATTTGCTATAGATAACTTATAAGTACAATTTAAGTGCTACAATCTTTTAGTCGAAGTAGAGGACAGCAAAGAGTCGTGATCTAGTCGAGTGTTTTGCTCTCAGTGAGGGAGGAACGAGCAGTTTATCAGATGCAGAGCGGAGAGTGCGGGTCGGGATGTCGGGTCACAACTTGGTACCTGAAGCGACTTTACTCAAAGTGTGGAAGCCTCAGAAGCGTTTCTCAGAAGCAGAGTGTCAGAGTGGACGTGAGGATGGGACGCGCTTTGTTTGGTGTGTTGGGGCTTTTCTGTGAGTACTTTCTCTCTTTAAATCATAGTTTTCATAGATCACAACTTTTTTTTTTAAGCCAGAAGTTAATAGTTTCTGTCAGTTTGATAAACGATGTTTCTCACTTTATTTTAGCGCTGAATATTCTCCTCTACTGTGGACACGCTCAATGTTTTTATACAACTCTTTATTTGATAAATTCACTCAAGACGATTCAACACCTCTCACTATTTTATTTGTATTATTACATACATGGCATCACGATTGTATTGCTTTGAAAAACACGTGCAGAGAGTTCATCATATATTAAAAGACATAAAATTATTTTCATTGACGAAGAAAAACTATACAAAAATATAAATGAATATAAAAGGTCATTTCAGATGTGGCTGCTTGTGATAAGAAGACGTCATTCTCAACATGCTCACTAGGGGGCAGCATCAATAACAAGAGCTGCTCTTAGTTGCACTTCAGAATAAACCGTTTTTTCTGTTGCAGCAGGAGATGTTTAGAAATATTGTTCATTGATCACATCAGTGTTTCTCAAACTGTGGGGCGCGACCCTCTAGTGGGTCGCAGTGGTTTTACAGGAGGGTCACATGGGGGAATTTTTTTAATCAGAGTAAATGTGGAAGGCAACAAAGTCACTTCCTGTACTTCAGTAAGTATGAAAGGGCCGTTTGATATTGTTCTAATATCTAAAATGATTCTAAGGGTTCAGCTGTTCAGCCCATGAAGTGATTAATACACTTAAAGAGACGTCACAAAGAGAGCTTTGCTTATGTTTTTACATTAAAGCGATATACTGACATTTTTAAACTTTTTTTCTTCTGACCCCAAAAGCATGAAAATGCTTTAACATAAAACATTATAAAAACACTTGCACTGCATTATTTTAACATGGAGAATAAGCTGTTAAAGACGCTGCTGAAAGCATATTAAAGGAATAATAAGTTTCATACACTTAATGGTTAAAAAACACTTAAAAATAAAACAAGATTAAAGATTTAGTTGAAACAATCTGCTAATTAACTGTACAAAATACTTTCTGCTATTCGGAGCACAAAGGTTCCCAAAAAGAATTAATTTAACAAGCCTCACACGTCTATTAAAGAGATTGTTTTTCTCGTTGGTCGGTTTTGTCCACACGGATGTCTTTATTGATCTGGAAGAACCAAAGAGAAAAAACAATAGCGGTTATTTATATTCAGCTTGAAGGTGATTTATGACGTTTAACTATGTGAAATAAACTGCTTTATAAATGGCTTCATCACCTCGAGATGTTCCTGGTTTGACTTCAGAATAAACAGCTTCCTCTGCTGCTGCACATCTGGATTTTCCTATAAATGAAAAGATTTAATGGATGTTTGCAAGTAGTTAGTTTAAAATAATAATGTATACGTTGTCCTGACTATTGTAAAACAATAAACACCAAATAAGAGTGCATCATTAATCAGAATAGTTTATAGTAATAAATGAAGGAGGAATAGACAGAAATGATTCTAACAATAACAAACTACCATTTTCTAACTTTTAAAAGATGTTGTTTTGTTTTGGATGGAGACAGAAGTCACATCACAAGGAGTCGATACCTGATGTGGACTTTACTTACCTTCATTCCTCTTCTTCTTAGTGGGGGGGTGAACCTGGGCATACGTCACGTCTAAAGACAAAAGACACAATTTCAGTTGAATATCGTTGGATTGATGAATATAGAAGAATGAAATGTGGGATCCAATTATGTCTGTTTCATGACTGCATAGTAAGTTAATACTAATTTAAATGACAACTTTAAAAAGTCTAAAGTGTGTTATGTGCTTGTATGTAGGATGTGTACATTGCTGATTTCGGCACGTTGGATGACAGCATGAACGTGTTGAACTAGAGCAGGTAGCACCTGTTAAACAGCAGGAAGCTCTGCTGGCGTTGACTGTACCTGCAGCTGATGTCGTCCTCACATCCGAGTAAACGGGGCTCTCGTCTGGTTCATCGTGCTTCTCTGTCACAAAGACCACACGAAGAACTTTGCTAAGAAGAACAAATCATCTCAACTCTCAAAGGTAATTCTCACTGTAAAGTAAATCACCTACCCTTCTTTTTAAAGTGTTTGAGCTCAATCATAGAATATGTGAGGCTGGATTCATCTGAAATAAGAATTTATTGTTTTTAATTCAAGACAGTTTGCATTGACTCTGAATCATCTGATTCTAGTATTTAACAGCTGTGATGAACACAGGATTTACTGCACCTTGTTCAGGTTCTTCAGAGCCTCTGATTGTTTCATAGAGACAAGAATCACCTGCAGAGCAGTGAGGATAAAGACGAGGTCATTCAATCATCCAAGTAAAGAACTAATTATTAAATAAATCAGGATTAAAACTGACCATGAAGAGCAGAAGCGTAATGTCCGTCTTGAGTTTCACCCTGGTTGATCATGTGGTCTGTAGCTGGGCTCTGATTGGTCCTCTGAGACCTTGTGGGTCCAAAACATGAAGTAAATACAGAGGATTGAATGAGGAACATGTAAAGTCCTGCTGCCGTGTTCAGAGGGAGAGAAGAGAGGCTTGTACCAACCTGCTGAGGCTTGAAGCTGCAAGAAAAAGGTTTCACAGTGTTAATTAATGAGTGTGTGTAATAATATGTGTGACTTTGACTTATTTCAGTGAAATCAGTCTGATATCAGAAGGAAAAGATCTCACCTTTTGACTTTCTGTAGCGACGCAGAATCAGCAGCAGGAGAATAATCAGTAAAACTCCAGAAACCAGACCAACAACCAACAGCAGGAGAAACACAGAGCTTGATGCTGCTTCTTCAGGATCTACACACAAGTACACACCAACCATGAAGAGATACACAAGTACTACAACACACACACTCAAATACACTCACATGAACCCTTTGATCACACAACATTCACCTTTCACTGCTGCTCATGTTACAGTTTCATTTGTGTCTTTAAACACTTAAATGTACAAAACTATATTGTCTCACACAAACAAATAGTTTAATTCAGTTACACCTTTTGTAACTCAGACTGTAACACATATTACAAAGAAAACATCTTCTACTCGTACTCACGTTCCACTGACAACCAGCTCTCTGCTGAGGTCAAAGTCTCCAAACCTGGAGGTGAATTCCTTCCTCTACATTTATAAAAGCCTTCATCTGACTTAGTAACTGCAGAGATAAGCAGCTCCCCTCCGACACCATTTGGGAGGAGTTTGTCATTTTTATAGAAATCCACATTATCAAGATGTTCTTTTGTCCTCAACATGCAGCCAAGAGTGACCGAATGTCCCTCAGTCACAGGATGGACAGAACTCACCAGGATGACATCACCACCTGTAAAGAGACCAGAGGACAGGAAGTCAAACAAGCTGATGTCCAATGAAGAGAAGACATTTATAGTTTACATGTGTTGTCCACATTCACACAGTAGCTGAGCGAATAGCTGCATTTCATGGATGAAAGATACGGCCCTTTGGTGACGTACATGCTCACAGTTACATCTTTAATAAATGCTCAATATGTCGGAGACAAATGTCCACTTAGTGGCAGTGAGCTACAGAATGGTCTAAAAGGTCCAACGTGGAGGAGCCAGGATGGAGCCAGATAACTCCACAGCTCCTCCTGGTCTAAAGTCAATGGTGGATGTCTATGGTCATAAAGAAGGAAAGTCCACCACAAAGACGTGTTGGACAATACAGAGAAATGATACTGAAACAAACTAAATATTGAGTTAAAGTCCTTTTAAAGTCACCTTAAAATGTCAGCACTCTACAATTAGATGTGTAACTTAACACAGACTCTGGCAAAACTTCAATATTAATGCTATTAGACCTCAGTGCTGCATTTGATACTGTCGACCACTCAATACTTTTGGACAGGTTGGAAAACTGGGTGGGGCTCTCAGGCACAGTCTTAAGCTGGTTCAGGTCATATCTACAAGACAGGAACTATTTTGTTTCCATTGGTGACTTTGTATCAGAAACAACCGACGTAACGTGTGGAGTCCCTCAAGGTTCGATCTTAGGGCCGACTTTATTCAACATCTACATGCTCCCACTAGGACAAATCATGCAAAGAAATAAAATTGACCACCATTGCTACGCTGATGATCTATGTAGCGCTATCACCAAACGACTATCGCCCCATAGATCTTCTGTGCCAGTGCATTGAGCAAATCAAAGACTGGATGTGTCAAAATTTCCTACAACTAAATGAAGACAAAACTGAGATCATTGTATTTGGTGCTAAAACAGAAAGGTTTAAAGTAACCCAACACCTTCACTCTCTGTCCCTGAAAACATAAAATAAAGCCAGAAATCTGGGGGGTATTATGGATTCAGATTTACACTTGGAGAGTCACATCAAATCAGTAACAAAATCGGCCTACTACCACCTCAAAAATGTAGCACGACTTAGAGGGCTCATGTCAGCTCAAGACTTGTAAAACTGACTGAAAACTTTTATGTTCAGCTTCGCCTTCTGCTAAATGTTACCTACATTGCACTTTTAACCTCTGCCTTTAATTAAACAATTTAAATAAGATTTTAATTTAGAATTTTATTTGCTGTTTTTAATTGTCTTTTAATTCCTGCATTTTATTTCACTTTATTGTATGAAATGTTATGATGTGAAGCACTTTGAGTCTGCCTTGTGTATGAAAAGTGCTATACAAATAAAATTGCCTTGCCTTGCCTTGCCTAACTACTTTGGATGTGAAACCTTTAAATGAATATAAACTCACTGTGTGTAGTGATGTTGGCTGCATTGCTGGACTGTGTTGCAGACTCACACCAGTACACTCCACTACTCGCTCTAGTGGTGTTGCATGTGGATCCAGTCATTTGTCCCCAGTAAGAACAGGATGACATGAAGCCAGATTCATCAGCCTTCATCACTCTCCACTCAGCAGAGTTTCCCTCACAGCTCAGTGACAGTGACTCTGTGCTGAAGTGCTGCAGTCTGTGAGGACTCACTGTGAGAGACGCTGCTGGATTCACACCTGAAGACACGTCATTAGGAGACACACAGAACAATGTCAACACAAACAGGACATTTATTCTCTTGTGCAAGAATATAAAAGTGTGAACAAACTCACCTCCAGACCAGAGAAACTTCACATCACTGTACAGAGTGTAAAACACAGGATCTCCTCTTCCAGCTCTGCACACATATCCTGCTGTGTGTGTCTGTCCATGAAGAATGTAGGAATCCTGTTCAGTCCCAGTGGTGTTACCAGCTAGAAGCTCATAGGTGTAGTTGAGTGACAGTTCTGGAACAGCCTGATACCAGAAGAACCTCCATCCTGCAGACGGAGGATCAACACTGCAGGTCAGAGTCACTGAGTCTCCAGGACTCGTCCATGATGGAGACACTGTGAGGACAGACTGAGGGACATCTGTTGGAAAGAGATTTCACAGAATAAAGACGTGTTGTGATGAGTCCTTGGTGGATTACTGTCACTGCTGATGTCCTCCATCTTTCACTTCAACTGTGTAAAACAGGTGTGATGGTACATTGTCTAAATATATTAACTAATTAAACAATTCAAATATTCTGTTTCTATTAACTCAAATATAGATACTGACATACCTGATGTTTTTACTGTGAAAGCATCACTCCATTCTGTTGTAGAGCCTCCATCTTTCAGTCTGCCCTTACAGCTGTAGTCTCCTCTGACTGATGATGTCATCATGGAGCCTCTTGGGTTTGGAGGTGTGTAATAGTCGGGTGTTCTCCATTCATACTCCCACTCAGAGCCTGCCTCCCTCCTCTATTCCACATGTGAGAGTGATC